TAAAGTGGTATCAATGCAACAATTATCACACAGGGCCTAAAAGAAAAAAAACTACCAAGATAATAAAATGTGTCAGTGTAGAAGTTAGCTTACTCGTTCACAGTTGGCGTACTACACTGAACATGGTGCAATCAGAACGCAATCAAATTAGCTGGTATATGAATGGAATTGAGCGAGGTGTAAATGACACCTGTGCAGTGTGTGGCCACCTCATCTTCTATCGTGAATAGCCTGTCAAAGAGCTCGACAAATCTTCCTTAACCCATAGAGCAGCATGAGGAGACTCTTAGCTTAGTTAGCTAATGTCAACTTAGTTCTAATGAGCAAAATATCTCATCTTCATTTGTCCCCATACACTCCATACACAAACAAGTATATGTATAAAATATACACGTACATATGTTAATTTTTCTGTCAGTATTTTTCTTGGGTCCTTTGATTTGTACGCTACTGGAGTTAATGGCATTTTGGTGCGTCTGGTCATTAACTGACACTTTTTATTTTCATTGTTCTCTTTTAAATCATTTGTTAAAGACTGCATCATACACCTTACCCCCTTTGTTAAAAAGACCTGTTATACATGTTGTCACCAGCAACATCAATGTGACAAGAAACCCAGAAGTAACTGCGTCCTGTGTGTCATCGACCTCCAGTTTAGGGGTTTCCAGTGTACAGAGGGAGTGTGTGAGCGCTGATGAAGACATGTTCTTTCCTCGTCAACACCTTCGCCAGCAAGAAATCAGCTTTCCCAAGTGACCTGCGGTTGACCCCCTCCTGCAGTCCATCGCCCCGAGGATCTGAGGACAGATGTTGACACTCCCGGCCCTGGTCTTCCTCCCTCATGATGCCTTCACAACAAGGAGAATAGACAACAGTGAAAAACTGTTCACACTTTTCCCTAAGTTCCCATGTGTCTGCTGCCTGTCCCTTCCCTGAAAAAAAAATAAAATAAAAAAATAAAAAAACAGAGGGGAAGAAAAGATGAAATTAAATGTGTGTGTACATTTTATCACGTCTGATATCGCCTTTTGAGAATTTCAGGTAGCAGAGTGTTTAACATTCTCTTGTCAAGCGTCCTCCTGCTGGGACAATAAATGCCTGTCCAGTTTTGCTCACAGTGGCGGCTGCAGATTACAAACAGCAGGAGCACGCCGGAGACTGAACACAATACCGATAAGGATGCCTGTCTTAGTGCCGCCGCTTTGGCTGGCTTCTCCTCACGCCAGGAACCTGCTGCTTTTAATATTTACACACAACTAGAATGGCAAATGTACCGTAACTTCACCCGCACACACCCCCTCTCCCCCTCACACACCTGGAAACAGTGGGCATATTTTTGTGTGTGTTTTTTTGTCTTTTGGGAGAGGGGGTCTGATTTTTGACGAAAAAGGGAGAGGGAGGGCTCAATTACAGCACAAACAGAGTGAAATTTCCATTGCATCTTTTCATCTGGGAGTTTCAGGAGGAGGTAGGTGTGGATGATTGCGACTGTTGAAGAGTTTTTATTCTACTTTTTTTTAAGGGTGGAAGGTGGATGAAATACAGCGAGTTTCTGTTTTCAGGTGAGGGTGGAGGGTGAAATGCAGATTTACTGTCGAGGCTGTGACAATTGAGGAGCCAGGGAATGTAGAGAGAAGACATAGGAGGCCACTGACACAGCACATTATTCACCGGCGCAAGACAAAGAAGTCCTTATCATTTAGATTTAAACACAATGAAAAGAGAAGTGACTTTGTTTACCTTCTTATAGCTAATTCTCTGTGTCATAACAGGCACCAAAGAGACAATAAATACACGTATTCTTCAAACTGTCAACACTATAAGATCCTAGATATTGGTGTGATTCAGTGAACAGTTCACAGCAGACTAGTTTTGTTTTTGAGCAGTCTGTCAACTGAAATCAGAAACTTTAAAGCTGCATGAGTTTGACAACACCGACATATTATCACCTCAATAAGTTGCTATTTCTAATGTGGTAGCAAACAGCTGCCTATTTAGACCTCCTGCAGACACAGACAGAGCAACATTAGCATTGGTTCAGAGCGGTGTTTGTGTTTATCTGATGGTTCCTTTTAGCTCCAATTTTGGTCTCCACCAACTCCTGGGAAAATAGCCAGGTATCCATTGCAGTTTCTTGCGCAACATGGAGGCGCGATATCATTCCAGTTAAACTTGTAGTCTGATTTCTATTTCCGTCTGCCTTTTGGTTGGAACTGGTTCCCTGGGGCCTGATCGGCAGGCACCACGACTTGAAAGCAATATTCTCTGAAATATTGCTTTGTTGACTAGTCTGAAAAACCACCACCAATTAAAATAAAAATAAGCTCACAATAGGTGAGCTTATTTTTATCTATTTATTTATTTTTTTAAATTAAATGTTTCTAAATTCGTTTTAAGTTCACAATTTCAAATTGTGCATTAAGCAGGTTAATGAAACATACATAGACACTACCATATCCAGTTGTGGTTGATGTGTTAGCATTATAATGTTAAGGAGACTCTATTATTACAAGGCCATAACAATTTGCTATTACCTTAACCAGAGCGATGTTGTGTAAAAGACACGGGGGGACAGCAACAAAACAGATGAAAATATCTCTTTTCTGTTTGTTGAACAGTTGGTTTGATGAAGTTCTTATTGACATTTTACGTTTTATTGCACTTATTGCACACACACAGTTAAGTTCAGTGATAGTTCGTCAACTCCAGTAATCTCCAGTTATCTTTACTTCACCTGGTTGTGTGTCTGGCTCTGCTGTTCGCTCTGTGTGTGTGTGTGTGTGTGTGTGTGTGTGTTTGGGGGGGATACAAGGAGGGAAACATGGATGCAATTAAGGCAACTGACATGTACCCTGTAACTTATGGTGGCTAGCAAACTATACACACATTGCACATCTGGTCTCAACCACTTTTGAAAAAGTAGGATTTAGGATTTGGGTTTTTTTTTGTACATTTAACAGATAAATATTGAATAGAAGCAGCCTGATATCAGCTAAGTGATACAACTTAGCATAACACTAGTGTTGGCTCGTCATTCACATCCATGACTTTAAGCACAGAATAGATGGAAACAATCCAAGTCGACTTTTCCTGTATGTCTGAACTTTTGGACCCTGCATGAATCCTGCCCTCCCTGTACCCTCACCCTTCAGTTTCTGCCCCACGCCACCAAAATACTGACAATTGTCCCAAACACAGGAAACCCACTGGTCGGGGAAACTGTTATTGAGTTATTGGCGCTTGGTCCCGGGGAGGGTTGGCATCTGTATCATGAGAGCGGTGGTTAGGCCACTGCTGTGAGGCTTTAACGCGCCGCCGCCTCGCCAATCTGGGGCCAACCACGGCAAACACATGGGCAACAACTACCTGCCAGCCCAGCCAGTGGATAACACATCCATGCAAAATGAAGAAGGCCAGCCGGGGTGAAAAATGTGTCCCTCTCTCTGCAAGCAGAAAAGATGTTGTGTTTAAGTGCTATCCCTTCTCCCCTCCATCTCTTCAACCCCCCCACCCCACCCCAC